TGGGGGTCGTCTGACAAACTGTCTCCGGCCACTAGACCCAAAAAGAACAATCTTACTTTCATCAGCCCACAAAATGTTGCGCCATTTCTCTTTAGGCCAGTCAATGTGCTCTTTGGCAAATTGTAACCTCTTCAGCACATGTCTTTTTTTCAACAGTGGGACTTTGCGGGGGCTTCTTGCAGATAGCTTGGCTTCACATAGGCGTCTTCTAATTGTAACAGTACTCACAGGTAACTTTAGACCTTCTTTGATCTTCCTGGAGCTGATTGTTGGCTGAGTTCTTGCCATTTTGACTATTCTTCTATCCATTCGAATGGTAGTTTTTCGCTTTCTTCCATGTCTTTCAGGTTTTGGTTGCCATTTTAAAGCATTTGCGATCATTTTAGCTGAGCAGCCTATCGTTTTCTGCACTTCTTTATATATTTTCCCCTCTCAAATCAACTTTTTAATTAAGGTACGCTGTTCTTCTGAACAATGTCTGGAATGACCCATTTTCCTCAGAATTTCAGAGAGAAATGGACTGTAACCAGCATGTACAACATTTGCTGCCTTCCTTCCTTAAATAAGGGCAATAATTGCCACCTGTTTTTCAAAAAATGAATGACCTCACTAATAGAACTCCACACTGCTATTATTTTGAACATGACCCTTTCAATTAGTTATTCAATTACACAGAATCAGCAGCATGCATGTCATGACTGTTGGGTCTGTTGGATTTCTATTAATCTACTACACCTACTAGTAAATATTTGCCATGTAGAAATATAATTTCTACCAAAAACAGTGATTGATCAGGTTAGTAATGTCTGACTGCTATTATTTTGAACACAACTGTGTACTGAAAAAACAAGATGTAATACACCTGGATGCACAAAGTAGTTGTGATGATATGTATGGTTTTGCTAACACATCTCAAAGTTGCAAAATTATGCTTAGGTGCAAAGGGGTTAAATACATTCCAGGTCCATCAAAATAAAAGGTCTTTAAAGTCTTACTGTTCATTTTGTTTTTCCAGAGTGTCAGCCACATCCTTAGTAGGATGCTTTGGAGAAGGGACTTTACCCTATGTGGGGAAGCAGTTGTCTCTCTGCAGAGGTCTGTCCAGACTTATCTCTCAATCAGCAAACTGCACACTTCCTGCTGATTAGAAAAGGTACATATATGATGCATTCCAAAGATGAACAAAACAGAACCAGGGCTCAAATCTTCATGCAAACCAAGGACATGTCAAAATGCCAACCGAAGAGGTGCTGCCCTTCTGAGATCGTGTAATCTGGCCACTAGTGGAAAAAGAACAAACAAGGGTGCACTCTCATCGTGCATTACCGTGATAGTCCACGTATTTATTAATAAAAAAGGATTATATACTCACAAACCAACGTGATAAAAAAGCAGTAAGGTGGTCCACAAAAACAGTCACAATATGGCTGTGTCTAGTGATGCGGATAAGCTAACGTGTTTCAGGAGCTGTACACCCTTCCTCAGAGCTCTGAGAAAGGGGGTACAGCTCCTAAAACGCGTTAGTTAATCCTCATCACTAGACAGCCATATTGTGACTGGTTTTGTGGACCACCTTACTGCTTTTTATCGTGTTGGTTTGTGAGTATATATGCCTTTTTTCCTAATAAATACATGGACTACCACGGTAATGCACGATGAGAGTGCACCCTTGTTTGTTTTTTTTTCCACATATATGATGCAGCTGAGGAATGTTGGACCTCTGCAGAGAGACCACTGCTTTTACACAGAAGATTTATTTTATGTCTGGGCTGTAAAGTTCACTGATCAAGGATCACCAGCACAGCCGCATAGCCACAAAACAGTCTTTATTTTCCAGTGGGCAAACAACAGTGCTTTAGGCAGACAAAGAATGTTTTTCTTCAGCTCAGTAACATAAACTCATTTTAAGAACAAGGTTAACTTTTACTGACAGGAACAACATAGCTGTGCTCTGGGCTCATCTGTTTCTCTATTGTAGCTAACCTGCACTTGGAGGAGATAGAAAAGGGAGCCTTGAACTCTTTTTTTGTGTGGGTCAAAATTAGAACATTGAAATTACAAGCTTTTAGCAAACACAAACTCAGTGGACATAAATATCAAGTTTACACAGAAAAGGCACAAAACAAAAAAATGCCCCTTTTGAACTGCGTGTTGCATGGGGGGAGTCTTTGACATTGAGATCTACAAGAAACCCACCCACACAGATATGTATCTTCTTTTTGACTCCCTACTACCAAATGGCACACAAAGTGGGGATTATTAGATATTGTAGAGAGATAGTAACAACAAATGCAAAGTCTAAACACAAAGAACACAGGCATCTCAGAAGTACTTTGAATGTTTGTGGCTACACAGACTGGGCTTTTTTTTAAATATCCACAAGGTCAAGCAAAAACACCATCCTCAAACAGAGGGGGTAAGGAAGAACACACAGAGTAATATACCGTAGTCATTTCATATGTAGTTAGAGTGTTGGAAAAACTCAGAAAGATGCTTATATAAGTCCAATTAACCTTCTGATGTCTCTTTAAGTGACCATAACCCAAACATGGGCATGGTAGCAAATCACAATTAGCAACAAAATGAGGAAATCTTGTTTCAGCATCAGGCATTTGTGGAACTTCGTTAACAACAATTTGCTCTCTAGAATTTACCTGTATGCCATCTCAGCAGGATGGACACATCCATGTCAGTATATACCAATTTGGAGAAAATTTCCTCATTATCCTCTCCATCCATGATCTTAAATGGGGAGGTTTCCCCCCGCAGAAGTCAGCTTGGTCTGTAGACCTGGAAAATTTGTCATCCTTAACATTATCATCATTATCATTATAATCATGACCATCAATTATTTCGCATGTCTCTTTTATGAATGTTTTTCTTCATTTGTAGGAGCTGGGAATAGTTTTTTCCCCAAGTCTCCAGTCTGTACAGTTATTTCACTTCTCATATGCTCCCACAGATTCAAAAACAAATGTCCTGTCCCACTATTATGTCATGTACCAGGTTTTCCTAAACCCAACCTCTTGAGTGACAGTGTCACAGACAATGAAAATGTACACTGGCACTAGTACCCCATAGTATGTATACACACAACTTGGAGGGTATTACAAATTAGTCTGACATTCATAAGCATTACCATGCTGCCTAAGGTCAGCAAGGCCTTGCATGTACAGACACTTAAACTTCCCCACACATAGGTCAAGGTGCCTTCGTTCCTTAGTATGCTTCCAGGAGTGAGATCACCATCACTGGACATCCCCAATTCTCCAGATAAGAGTAGACATTTTAGGAGCTGAGGGAGACACATTTGGGCCATCTTGTGTGCTGGGTGCACAATTTTGCAGAGCTTCCTTTCTGGAAGCTGTAATAAACGTTTGTGCAGATGAAGAAATGGGGTCTCATCATCTAGCAGTCCCAAGTAGATCCTACACCGGTCTCTAGCTGATCCAATGATTTGGGGTCTCCATAGCAGACTCAGCTCTAGAGATCCCCAGGCAGGGACCTCAAATACTATTCACCATGACACACTCCACTATTTAGGGCCCAGGCAGAGCCTCTGGGTGAAGCAACTTCTTAGCATCCTTAAGACCTTGCTGTGTATTTAAGTGGTTGGTCTGCACCTCTACTAGAGCGAGTGGAAGGTAAATGTATGTCCTTGTTTATTTACAGTTGTGTGTGTGCTATCTGTCATTAGACAGAAGAGAGTATTGGTTAAAGGCACAGAGCCTTGTGTAATGGCTCTGTGCTATGTGACTACTGTGATGGCCACACCAATTATTAATGTCAATTAACAAGAGTAATTGTCATTCAAACTGTCACAGCACTGAAAACTGAAAAATGGTCTGAACAGATCTGTACTGGGGTCCCATCCAGTCAATATCTCCAGCTATGAACTCTTTGAGTAACAACAGTAACCGTCACCCCAAGGCAGACCAGGATCTCCACTTTCAGCTCATTATAATTATTGATCTCACCAGGTGGAAGATCACAATAGGTCTTTTGTAGCTCTCCACTGAGAAAAGCAGTCAGTTCATTGTTCTTGGGTCCACCTCTCTCTCCTATGGCAAACAGCCTGTGCCAAGCCCTGTTGCTGCTTATCTAATGCCTCATCAGTATTCTTATATGAACACATATTTAGTCAATGACATAGGCTAAACATGGGCATGTGTCCACATAAGGGCACTGACACCACCAGAATCCCACCCCCTTGTCTAGTTAAGGGTGGTAAATGACCTTGACTGCAGTTGACTGAAAAAAAAAATATATTTTGAAAAATATTTTTGATATATTTTGTAATATATACAAAATGCATTTCAACATGCAGTATATATATATATATATATATATATATATATATATAATTACAAAAATATTTGTAAAATGCATTCCAAAAATGTAGATTTGTATTTTTAAACACACGGTATATTTGAAAATGTATTTCATATATTTTGTAATAAAAATGCATTTCAACATGCATTCATCAACATGTCCTCAAAATTGTATGTTAGTGCAAATAAAAAAAAGTATCACGGACAGTACTCAATTGTTTCTGTCGCAAATGCACTAATACGGCTACAATCAACTCAAACATACAGTACATATATATATATATATATTTTTTTTTTTTAATATATTTTTAAATAGATTGAATATGGCCAAAATTGTACTATTTCAAATATGTCATATATATCTGGGAAGAATATTTTTTAAAATATATTTCAAATATATTTTTCTTCCAAGTGGGTTGTTTCAGGTCTGTAAGACATCAATGACATCTGTACCAAAAGTAGAGCCCCAATTTTATTATTTTATGACTTTAACCACCTCCCGCCCGCCATATAAGGTAATGACGGGCGCAACGTGGTTCTCTTGTTCTGGGAAGATGTCATATGATGTCCTCCCACTCTAACCGCACGTGCACAGCTCCGGGAGCATGCAGCGCAGCAATCGGCGATGTGCTGTCTCCCTAGGACACAGCGGATCGCCGATCAACGGAAAGAGCCGAAGATGTTGGCTCAGTCATGTGATCATCTGTGTCCAATCACAGCTGATTACATGCAAATAGGGAAATGCCGGTTATCGGCATTTCTCTCCTCACGAGCTATCACGCTAACAGCTTGAGAGGAGAGACGGTAATCGGCATCCCTGAGAGGGGACATGTACACTGATCATCAATGCACTGATGATCAGTGTTCCCTGATGATCTGTGTAGCCCCAGCAGTGCCAGCTGTCAGTGCCCATCAATGCCAGCTGTCAGTGCCCATCAGTGCCACATATCAGTGCCTACCAGTGCACATCAATGCCACATATCAGTGCCCATCTGAGCTGCCTTTCAGTGCCACCTATCAATGCCAGTCAGTGCCACCTATCAGTGCTGCCAATCAGTGCTGTCTATCAGTGCCAGTCAGTGCCGCCTATCAGTGCACATCAGTGCTGCCTATCGGTGCCTGTCAGTGCTGCCTATCGGTGCTGCCTAACAGTGCCAGTCAGTGCCACCTAACAGTGCCAGTTAGTGCCGCTTATCAGTGCTAGTCAGTGCCACCTATCAGTGCCACCTATCAGTGCCATATGAGTGATGCCTTTCAGTGCCCATCAGTGATGCCTGTCAATACCCATCAGTGCCACCTACTAGTGCCTCCTCATCAGTGCCACCTATCAGTGCCCATCAGTGCAGCCTATCAGTGCCCACCACTGCAGCCTCACTAGCGCACATTAGTGAAGGAGAGAAATCACTTATTTACAAAATTTTATAACAAAACACTAAGACAAATCTTTTTCTTTTTCAAAATTTTCAGTTGTTTTTTGGTTTGTTTAGCAAAAAATAAAAAACCCAGAGGTGATTAAATACCACCAAAAGAAAGCTCTATCTGTCTCAAAAAAATTATAAAAAGTTTATATGGGTACAGTGTTGCATGACCACGCAATTGTCATTCAAAGTGCGACAGCGCTGAAAGCTGAAAACTGGCCTGGGCAGGAAGGGGGTATAAGTGCCCTGTAGGCTAGTGGTTAAGGAGATATTACATTTTATTATTTTATTCCTTTTTAACGGAATGAGGGACTACACAAGTTATTGTAGTTATGTATGTCTACTGATTTTCTAATTTAAATAGGAAAAATGTTTTAAGACTTGTGTATGATCTGCATTTAGCACAAACAGTGGTTCTTTTACTTAATTAGTGTTTCAGTATTGGAAGACTTCAGGACACAATTTATGAAATTGTTAAGACTTAGCCTTGGTTCATCACTACATAATATGTGTGTTTGTTCTTTTTGTAGTAGAATAAAATGCTGTGCGAAAGTTTGGCATGACAGTGTTTATTTAATTACATTCTGCACATAAAGTAAAGACTCTATTGGAGTATATTTAGAGTCATCAAAATATATGCCCACACTGAAAATATATCTGTTATAATGTGCTCATTCTTAATTAAAAACAGGAAGGGAAATTGTACCCTGCATTACAGAAGGTCTATACAGTGTCACATCATTCTTAATAAAAAGAATATCTACTTTGTTCTTTATAATTCCCTTTAAAGCATGAAGGGAAAAATTAAATTAGAGTTCAGCTTGTGGTAGCCAATCATGCCTGATTCATAGTATAACTCCCACCAAATAAGTTTTATAGTTGAAGGAGGGTAATACTTTTGTGAGATATCTAGCTTCTCCAGTAGGGGGATTGACTGTCACAAGGGGACCTCTATGTTCATTTTGCTCAGTGGTTTATACATTATTCCTGCTATATAGACCCATGTAGATCTTTAATTTATGGTAAAAGGGATGTGGCACTGTGTGCTTCTTCTCTAATATACGAGGGGCGTTCAAGTCAAACCGGGACCTTTGAGTTTATATAATAAAAAGAACAAATTTCAAGGCTGGAAACTGCATTTATTTTTTTTACATATTCCCCAGCTACATTTATACGCTTATCCCAGCATTTAATGCCCGGAAAGATTTGGCACAGAAAGATTTGTCAGTATTTCTGAACCATCCTAGGACAGCCTGCTTCACTTTGTCATCATTGTGTTCACTGTTCCCACAGAAATGCATTTTCATGGCAGGTTATGAGTTGGTTATCCAGAATCAGGCATTCCACACACTGAATGTTTACAGAAATGACTGCTGTGGGCTGGGAACCACCACGGCCAGGACCATTACTGATGGATGTACAGTCATATTTGAAACATTTACATCATTCAAATGTCTTACTGCTTCTGAGCGTCTCATCAGCGTACCGTGCTTGAAATCTTTTGTAGATATCCGCAGGTTTTACACCTTCATTCACCAGAAACTTCATCACCACACAGTGTTCCATGCACGCACTAACACTGTTGTCTGCCATCTTGATTAACCTCCCTGGCGGTATGATTCTTTCCGATTTTTGGTGCTGAAAGCGGTACCATTATTTTGCATGGAAATATGTAGTTTTTTTATTGTAGGCTGTAATTTTTAGGAATAACTCACTGAAATCTGTCTGAACAAGATTCTAAATCATACATTTAATTCAATAATATAATCAAACCAAAAACACTTTTGAAATAGAGCGCCAAGTTCGCACATCACTGAGCAAAGTCTTGTTTTCAATGTCTGATGACGAATTTCCCCACGAATCATTATCACTCAATTCTGCAAGTGGTCCTGATTTACTATCGCTGTTCTCTAGCTGATCTAAAACCGCTTTTGACCTAAAGGGACGCTTTTTGGACGCCATGGACTTTTCTACGTTTCCAGGCAGAAAGAACAATCAAATGCAGACAGGGGACAGGACAAAGCACTCGGGACAAAATGTATGTGAAATAGGTTGAAACAGCAATGTTTTACTATTTAGAATCATTTTGAAAAAAATGACATTTTTTTTAAATTTTCAAATTTCCCGCCGCCGGCGGCGCCCGTACGTCCCGACGTCACGGGAACCGGAACACAGGAGCCGGATGCCGACATCAGATGGAGGAGATGGCCGGGAACGCTGCAGGGGGACACATCGTGGGAGCGAAGGACAAGGTAAGTGCTTGCAGGGGACTCCCTATGCAGTGCTGCATGGTAAGCCCGAGTGTAGCTCGGGGTTACCGCTTTTGGTATAGAAATTTTACCCCGAGCTACACTCGGGAATTACCGCCAGGGAGGTTAACAGTCTCTGGACTGGCCTGCGACATGTGTGTTGCCTATCAGTAATAGGACACACTTGCCACTTACTACTGCGTGCAGTACTGCCACACTGGCATCTCTTTTTATACCTGTAAAATTAAAAGTCCCAGTTTGATTTGAATGTCCCTCATATATTACAATGTACACGAAGCTTAACTGCTCATTCTGTTTTATTGAAGGATATCCAGGCAGACAATTGGTTGAATCTCAAATAATATTCTTTGTTGCACCCACGTGAAAATAATAAGGATCAATATATTAAAAGGGCAATATAGTAAGGGAGATAAAGCAAATTAAAACAAGGATGACATACGAACATACAAGCAAGTTGTGCATATAATAAAGTGCAAGGCAGAGGTAGCCCTATAATTAGGCACAAATTTGCAGTTTTCTACATATGTAACAACCAGGGCAATGAATCTTACTATGAAGGAGAAGAGCAGAAGTGCCAAAGAAAACTGGCAGATACAATCAAACAGACGGAACAGTGCAAAGGTTTCATAATGTAGCAAATTATACAAAAGTGTATTAACTAAATGTAAACATTCTAAGGCATTGGTGCAAAGAAAACCATAGTAATATAAATAGTGACAAAATGTAACAAATAAATGAACTTCAAGGATAAAACATGATGCAATATGATGCAATGGTTGCTCATGTAACTATGTATAAGTTCTCATGCACACTGGACATTTAATAGCTGCTGTTTTTGGCTTTTGATGTTTTTTTTTCTACAGCCACATAGGCTTTGATCAGCGTTTTTATGGCAAATGTGTTTTTTGGTTGGAAAACCCCCCAGAACTATTGGTTTCTAGAGGAATTTTTTGCTGCAAAAAGCTCTAATGCTGAAAAATGCAGTAATATGCATACAAATTAGTTAAAACCAGCGTTTTAGGGCTTTTTTTTGTGTAAAATAAATGCAAAAAAATGCAAATGTGGAAAGACACAGCTAAACGCTAATGCAAAAATGCCAAATAATGCTAAAGAACTCAAATTTTTAATGTGACTTTACACAGCTAACGTTACCATGGATGGTAACACGCCCAGTGTGCATGGAGCCTAAATAGTAAGAACACAAAGTAGTAAAAAGTAAATTTAATAAATATGTAAATAATCTGTTTGAAAAAGAAATTTTAAAAATCTAGAATATAGAGAACAGAAAGAAGGAAGAATAAAAATAAATAAGATAATAAATAATAGTATGCTTTTCATCAAGGCCATATGGACAAAGGCTATTCAACCATAACTATGGTTGATTTAAAAGTTCAGACTAAACTTTGGCTGTTTGGGCATGCTGAACACCATAATGTATATAGCAACAGTATTTCTGCCATAACTATCTATGACAGCTTCCTACCTGTCAATGGTTGCTAAGGAAGCAGAGGTTGCTGGTACACACTGTATCCTTAGCAAACAGTGATGTCACCCAGTCCCATTCATTTACTGGCTCAAAATCCCTGGCCATGTAAACAAAGAGCCAGAGATAACATGATATCACTGATCAAATACAGCCGAAATGGTCATTTTTTTACAATGACATTTACCAAATATGTTTACACCCCCTACTTTGTGCTACATATATAATTTAAAGACCCCACAAATGTTAGAAATATATTAAATTATGAATATGTGAAAAATTATAGAAAAAAACAAACTAACCCCAAATAACCCCAAAAAATACTGAAAATGTGAATCTAAAAAAATCCAAATTCAACAGCAACGCTGTGTGTACACAAATTTATTTGATGAATAATAAGTGGATCAGAAAACAATTCAATAATACACATTACACCACCAACTGAAGTGCTTTACTTTCAGTGCTTTCACTAAGGGATGTGCTGGATTTTATTCCCTGCTGACAGGACAGAGTTCTGCCTTGTTTACACAGGCAGAGCTCTCTTCTGTCTTTCTCCTCACTGATCAGCTGGTGCTGGCTGTCATCCATTGGCCAGCACCCTCTGATCGGCTTGTACTGTGTCTTATCAGAGCACAGCCTGGTCACAAGTGATGTGAGCATGCCCCCTACCTGGGAGTCCTGGATTCACACACTAGGTACTTGACCTGGTGCTGGAGTGCCACTCTGCCGCCATATAATTAGGTTATGTGGTCAGAAAGTGGCTAATGAGAGTGGGAGGCACTTGACACTGTTTTTTGGCACTTTTGAAGATTTTTTTTTACACAAGATGATCGCTGTGAACTTCACTTGGATTGGATTTTGAACTTAATAATATTATGGACTGTTATGCACTTCACTTAGTGGTGTGATTTGTATTATTGATTTGTTTTGTGATCCACTTATTAATCATTCATAATTTGTGAGTGTACACAGTGCTACTGTTGAATTTGGATTTTTCTAAATTCACTTTTTCAGTATCTACCAAATATGGCTGCTGACA